CTCGCGGAAGGTTCCCAAGACCGCGCGTAATCATTGGACGTCCGCGGGGCGAGTGTCTGACCGGCCACTTGGGCAGACTGAGTCGCCAAGGTGGAGAGCTCCACGTCCGCCTCCGCGCCAAGAGCGACCAAAAGAGCCTCAGCCCGGGCATCTAAGTCTGTGCGAGGGGCGCGAACGGATCAGCGGGGACACGGATACGGTTGATGTTAGAGGCCGAGAAGTCGACCAGAAGGGCCAAGGTGGACCAGCGGGAAGCGCCTTTGGGCAGGGGGACCCCCGAGGTGCGGGCCAGGAAGACATCCGCGGCCCGGCCGAGCAAGTGAACTCCACTCACGAAAGGTTTGAACCAGACCCCGTCGGCCGTGATGAAAGTCGCGGGTAGGCCAGAAAGGCGCGACAAGGCAGAGCCGGGGCTGGCAGGCCTCGGCGTGCTGCAGTACCTTGAGGAGGAGGTGAAAGGGCGGGTTCGCCCAGCACCTGCGCCCCCATGAGAACCTGAACGCGTCGACTCCAGACGTTGTTGGAGTGAATTAGCGGGAATAGTACACGGGGAGCTGGAAAGTCGCGTGGGACGCAAATAGGTCGATGTCGAAGGGGCCCCAGGTGTCGTGAAGCCTGCGGAATATGCTGGGCTTCAGCATCCAGTCATCAGGGTCTTGCAGTTTCGAAAGCGCATCGGCGAGCTGGTTCTGGCCGCGGGGTCGCCACTCCGCTTGCAAGCGGATATCCTGCTCGAAACAATAGCTGTGCAGCTCGCAGGCGACCTTGTGGGAGTCGTCCGCTTTAGCGGAGCCCTTGTTGACGACATTCGCGGCATTAAGGTTGTCGGTGATGACTTTAACCGACTGACCAGATAGACCGGCTGGGCTATCGAAAGATCGAATCGCGTTCAGAATGGCCTGGAGTTCCTGCGGGGTAGACCCCATAGCGCTGACGTCGGGCGTCCACTCGCCGTGCGCTGGCGCTAACTGGCCATTGAGGATTGTCCAGGCCCCCCAACCTCCGAGGGATTCAGAGGATTTACCAGCGGCATCGCAAAAAATGAGGGAGTGCACCACGGACGGAACCCACAGGTGCCGGCGGCCGTTAAACCGATCAAAGGACGACTCCCAGAAAGACAGCTCCTCCCGCGCGTCATCAGAGAGGGAGAGATGGGTTTCCCAGTCTGCCGAGTTTCAATAAGTTGACCGAGAGCTCGGGTGCGCAGCCGGGCCCAAGGTCCGAGGGCCCAAGACATGGCCAGGAGTTGGCCTTTAATGGATGCCAATAAGCGGGCGGTCGAGCGCCGCGCCGTGAGCACGCCATTGATCTCGGATAAGAGGCGGTCCCGCTTGTTGCCTGGCACGATGAAAACGCCGTCCTTGGTATCGATAAGCATGCCCAAGTAACGAATGCGATGTTGCACGGCCCCCAGCATAGATTTTTCTTTATTGACCAGGAAGCCGAGCGTCTCCAACTGAGCAACCACTTCGGCCCTGCGCCATACCAAGTTATCAGCGTTCTGGTCTGCGTGAACCTGATCATCTATGTAGCCCGAGCATCGCCAGCCGCGTTTGCGCCAGGGGCGCATGACCTCTCGCATGAGCTTCGTGAACGCCCAGCAAGCGGAAGCGAGGCCGAAAGGCAACTGTGTGAAGACATAGAAGACCCCTCTCCAGCAGAAGCCGAGATATTCCCAGAACCTGGGATCGATATCGAGGTGATGATAGCCGCTTTTAAGGTCCAAAGTAAAAAGGTAATCGCCTGGGAGTAGCCAACCAGGAACCGCCTTCAAGTCTTCGTAGCGGAAGGAGGGGACGTGCAAGTAATCATTTACCGGCCTGCCGTCCCAAATAAGCCGGAGCTTAGTTGCCTGCTGCACGACCCCCAACGGGCAAACCACACGAGGCTGCGTCGGCCATGCGCGGGCTGTGCCCGACGCCACCAGATCTGCTACGGCTTTGTCCACGAACGCGGCGTTGGCGGTTGCCGAAGCGTGATTGCGGCCGGAGTGCTGGGGGGGAGGGCTGGAGACCCAACGGAGTGGGAAACCCGACGTGATCCACGAGATGACCAGCGCATTCACAACCCAAGCCTTCCAAGCGCCTTTCTTGCCCGAGAGGCGTCCCCTCATCTGGGGCGGCACGGAAGGCAGACCCGCTACTGGCGTCGACCGAAATCCCGAGGCGTTGTCGAAAGTAGGACTAGAAAACTCCCCTTTATCCTTCCAGAATTCACCCGGGGCCTCAACCTTCACACCTTCTGGCGCCACCGCGGGGCGGGCTGGTTGTTTCCGATGCGTGGCCAGACTTGCCGGGACTGACGCAGGGTCCAGGTTTGGCCGATGGGCAGGGACAGGGCCCGGTGCGGGCCGTTTGGTGGCTGGCAAGTCTTCGGGGGCTGCGGTAGGTGGGCCGCGCGGCTGACCTAAAAGACGCTGCCCTTTGAATTGGCTGGCGTTGCGACTGACGGACAGCTGGACGTTTTCCACAAGGTCCGGACTCGAGAGGGCCTCTACCCCTAGCTCGGACAGGAAGGCAATAGCATCGTCGTGCGAGAACGAATCCATGGTTCCTCAGGCTGGAAATTACTGGCGGCTATGAAGGCCTGCAAGCGTGCACCGGACAGACTGTTGGAGACACGGGCGAGGCGAGAAGTAGAGCAACGCTTAAAGAAGTAAGACAGGCAAAAAACGGGTCCCCCAGCCGGCCGGCTGCCAAGGCGACTTGAGTGGACACTTGGCCTGACGCGAATTATCCGGAAAGGGAAAAAACGGCAAACGCTGCCACAGAGTGAGCCCGTGCGACGGTCTGTTCACAACCTCAAAACGCGAACGCGATAGAAAGGAAAAAAGCGGGAAAGCAAGACACCGCGAGTAAAAAAGGTCGTCAACGAAGCTTACGACTGCACTCGCGGGCGCCAACAACTGCGCACGCGGGCGCCAACAACTGCGCACGCGGCGCCAACGACTGCGCACGCGGGCGCCAACAACTGCGCACGCGGCGCCAACGACTGCGCACGCGGGCGCCAACAACTGCGCACGCGGGCGCCAACTATCGCGCACACGGGCGCCTCAATCGCACGCGCGGGTGCCCAATTCGATGCTCGCTGGCAACCTCATCATAACCAAAAAAGAATATTCCTGCGCACGCTGCGCTGACCGGCGATGGTCCTTGAAGAGAAGAAGCACACGGGCCAAGAAAAAAGACAGGCACGCGGGCCCCGCTCTACTGCACCAAGGCCTGAAAACCACTACTTGCCGCTGCGGTCTTCCTTGCGGCCATTGCCATTGCGATCGCTGCGATCAAAGCGCTCTGCATCGCGACCTCCGCCGTACTCATGACCTCCGCGCTGGCCGCCACCCCTGTGGCTGCTGCCGCGCGGTCCGCCACCGCTGCCTCTGCCGCCGGAGCCTCCAGCGCCGCGAGAATGGCCGCCGCCATGACTGCCAGGCGTGGAGGCGCTCGCCGTCCGCAAGGCCCAGTCCTTCTGTTTCCGCACGAGGGCCTCCGCTTTTTTACCTTTTGGGATCCGTGTGCCGATAATGTTGTTAAAGCAGAGATCCGCGGCTCTTAGACATCATCAAGCGCACCCACGAGCAGGCTGGGCACTTCGGGGTGCGGCGCACGACTGCGCTGCTTCTCACCAGCTACTGGTGGCAGGGGATGCACGACGATGTCGCTTCGGTGGTACGTCACTGCGCAGCCTGCGATCGTGTCAACACCAGCTTTTCAGCCAGGGCGCTGGAGCTCAACCCGCTGCCAATATCGGGTTTATTCTACCGCTGGGGTGTGGACCTGTGTGGTCCGTTCAAGAAGACCCCCAGGGGTTTTACCTACGTAATGATTTGTGTGGAACATTTTTCTAAGTATGTGGTTCTCATTCCGCTGCCTGACAAGCATGCTGAGCAGACAGCGTTCGCCTTCCAGCACCAAATTTTGGGCCGCTATGGGGCCTGTGCTGAGGTATGTACAGATCAGGGCAGTGAGTGGAAAGCTGAGTTTGCGCAATTGTTGATTGATTCGTTAATAGACCATCGTCAGACCTCCACGAACCACCCGCAAGCCAACGGACTGGCAGAGCGTGCTGTTCAGACTTGCAAAAACGCGCTCCGGCGCATTGCACATGCTGGCGGTGGTGTTGAGGAGTGGGACAAGCATCTGCCGTACGTCATGCTGGGCTACAACTGCTCCGTGCAGTCAGCATCGCGTGTTACACCGTACCACGTCATGCACGCCATGGAACCCACCATTCCACCGGCGATTAAGCAGCGTTTTGAAAGGGACGTGAGTTTGGATGACCCAGAGGCGGCGGCAAGGTCTATTATGCAACGTGCTGCCGCGCTTCGTCGACATATGGCCGTGGCGGGCGGCAACCTACTCATTGTGCAGCATCGTGACACTCTTCGTTATGCGCACATGAGGGGCGGAGCCGTTTTGCCGCGTTTGCGTCGTTTTGAGATGGGTGACTACGTGTATTATCGGAATACCTCCGCTCGCGCCAGTTTGGATCCTCACGCCAAGCCGGATATTCTGCGGGTTACTGAGGTGAGGCCCTCCGGGGTGTTGGTGCTAGAGGGTCGCTGTGGCAGCACGCTTACTGCCCATGTCAGTCACTGTGCGCCCTGTCATTTGCCCATCGATGATCACGTGGTCGACCCGCGATTGGCTAGGCCATCTCCAGGGCATCCCTGTGAGGTGTGTAGGTTTCCTGATGGTGAAGAATGGATGTTGTTATGTGATGCGTGCGGCACTGGATGGCACACTTAGGGTTTTAAGCTACCTGTGAAGGAGATACCGGAGGGTGCATGGATTTGCCCAAAGTGTGAGTCGAAAGGTGTCAGTACTGAAGCCTTGGAAGGGAAGTCTTCCGAACCTGCGCGGGGTGCAGCTCCCGAGCCACCCAAGTACCTGCACGACCTCCAAGGTGTGGCTGTTATGAGGGGGTCTAAAGGAAGAGGTCGCCGCACCACCCGGTCGCTGGGTGTAGCATCGTATGCTGGCCGCAGGGGAAGGTCCCACATGTTTCAGGTGGTGTACGACAACGGAGACGTTGAGGTGGTTAGTGTGAGCGAGTTGCGCAATTGTGTAGCCCCTACACGCCCCTCTGCCAAGAAAGCGATGGCGGGAATCTCTGAGGCCAAGGAGCATCCGTGCTCGGGCCCGTTCGAGCTTCACACGACTAAGGGGGTCAGCCAAGCTTTGGCCCGTGTGATGCCAGGAGAGCACAATCCCAGCAAAGTGAAGGCATTGGTGACCGCCGGAAGTAAAGGCATCATGAGGAAGGATCCTGTGAGGGCTGAGGATGTTAGCGTTCTAACGCAAGCCGTCGCAGTTGGTTGTGTGGGATCAGTGTTTATCCCTTGGAAGTGGGATGAGAAGGCAATGCAGCAGTTGCAGGAGGGTGCCTGCACCGTTCGGTATATGCCCGATAAGGCAACCCTCTATGCGGCCCAGCCGCAGAGTTTTGCAAAGGCTCGCTCTGATGGAGTCGCCATGCCAATCATAGGTTTGGATATCTCCGAAGAGGTGATGGATGTGGTGCTGCCGGTGGCATGTCAGCATGCTGAGGTAGCTGTCATCGCTGCTGTGCCGCGCACTTATATTACCCAGGCGGATCCAGCACGTTTGGATTGGCTCCGTGCTGTGCAACGGGAGGGCCGTCTGAGTATTTTGGAAGTAGGAACTAAGTTTTGGTTGGTTGTGTTCAGCAATGCTTTGTGGAAGCGCGCCCTGGTTAAGGACACAACGCGCGCCATTCAGTTACTTTAGTGCCTTTTGGGTGGTCTACCGCCAGCTCACCCAGCGCAATCCGCGCATGAGCTGGGGGGGGAGTGATCTGTTTATATTAGTCGCTATCCGCAGGTGGTTAAGCCAACCGAAGGTAGTTGGACGAACCTCGTCTTGATTTAGTTAAGACTTAGGGTGTTGCTTGACTAGCGTATAAGGCGCTTTCCGTTGTGGTTTGAGGATATTCAGTTGTTGTTCATCTGTCGTTAGTCGGATGAGCGTTACGTATCCAGGATAGGGCCTCGTGTGATAAGGCCCGGCGCGGATCAGTCGATGCTTCGCCATAAATGTGAGTGCGAAGAGGCCAAATATTTGTCGTTTGGCTCTGGAAGCAACTCTTCGTGAGCGTACAGACCATCAATTATTACGGATAATATATTCACAGGAGGGTTGATAGGCCTGTTTTATGTAAGAAGACTGTGATCCTACCCTACCTCGAGACGCGTATCAGAGCAGGACTTATACCTCTAGGCTCGACAGGGATCCGTTCCCAGCCCGTCCTCGCCTACCGCGATCGCGCTCATCAAGTTAACGAAGCTGGAGTGAGCCAGCCGAGTCAAGCCGGCGCTTTGAGGAAAGCTCTTATTGTATAATCATTTACCGACAGTGATCCATCCGCATTTCTTATGTTTGTTAGCACGTCATATGGCGTGACAGGTGTTGTGTGTCTTACGATCTAGCTTCGGTCTGAGAAACGTTCTTGAACATATCCTTTACTAGTTTTTTCTCAGTTTCCGTCGGCCGCCATGAACCTGGCCTGGAGCTGCGTAAACCGGTAGCTGCCGTTGTGTAATGAAGCAGCTGCTGCGTGAAAAGGGTAGCTGCGTCTTACGTTGACCATACGACAGTTGTACGAATGGCGGGCGCGTTTGCCGTATATAAGGCGCGGCCTGACCGATGTTTTCCAAGGGGTATTCAAATCATACAACTCCCGCGCATGGTAGCAGGACGCACCGGCCAAGGCAGTTTGTAACAGGTATCGCCTTCACTTGGCGTGGATAACTTCCACCCATTTTATCTCGTCAACAACCGGCTAGGTTCCAATCCGACATTGGTCCTAGTGGCCAAGAGGCAGTAAAACTCTGCTCACATCAGGCTCACAACCACACCTGGGCCTACGGCCTCAGGACAAAACTCTGATTCCGCTTCCGCGCACGCATACAAATCTTGATCCTATCTTGCTTACAACAATTTACTGGTGTCGATTCCTTTCTCTAAACGATCCTGGGCGCCCCGGTGTGTCCATCCAGCGGTACCCCAAAACGCGAAAATTTTTGGGCTGTCGCCGGGTGGCGTCCGCCGTGGTGCGGCCGCTACAACCTGAATTAACGGTGGGGTGGGTTGTTAAGCAAGGGTGCCCCCTTAGCGTAACCCTTTTTTGGACTCTTCTTAGAAGTATTCGCTCATTATATTGATGCTCACGATGCTAATTGCCGTATATGCCTCCCTAGACAATGGAGCACCCTTCGTGAGCAGAGTGTTAGCCTGGCAGGCGGTGAACTCACTAACCTACTTTTCGTTGACGATGTGTCACTGGTAGCGACAGGGCACGATAGAGCCGAATGCCTTCTGGGGCTACTCAAAGCCTACTGCAAAGCGACGGGTATGGCCGCGAATGCCGCCAAGTGTGAGGTCCTCATTTTTGGGGGTGCTAAGCGTGAGTGGAAGCGGTGTATGGAAGCTGAGTACCGGTTAGGTGGGGCGGTGTAACAGGTGCTGACCGGCAACGAGACGGCACGGTATCTCGGGTTGCACTATGGCCCAGGAGTGCAGTTCTCAGCATGTACCAAGCAACTACTCACAGCAGGGAGGCGGGCCACGTTTGGGCTCAGCACCCTGTCTCTGTAACATCTCGAACATATCCGGTCAGTGTTCTTTTTTTCGTTTGGGGCCTAATACCCTAGAGTAATAAACTGGGTGTTTCTTGCGTTTACAATTCCTTTTTGTATAGTCGCTGGGGGGGGGCTGCCCCCCCCCCAGACCCCCCCCCTCAAAGGCTGTACGGTGTGCTGTACACAACACCTGACGTCTGGAAACACACATGCCGTACCACCATTTGCGCCAGTGTCTCTTTGGGCAGTGTGTGGAGCCACTTTGACTGTCCATAAACGTCGTGAGCACGTGAAGGCAAAGTTATATATATGTACACTGTCGGCACCATCAACACCACTGCATTGCACCAGCCGCCGATAAATAGTGTATAAGCTTCAAATGTTCAGCTTTGTATGTGCAGAAGGCATTTGGGGCGACTTATGGCCGAAGTAATGAACCAGTACGGCCAACTGACCAATTATTCCATTTCTTCCAGGCTCAGACCCCCATTTATTCCCAAAAAAGTAATATATTACCAAAAAAAAACACTGTATCCGGTACGCAGTGGCAGGCTTGCCGAGCACGAAATGAAGGGGGGGTCGCATCTCACCAGTCCACTAAGCATGCATGTGCACCAGCAGATGAACACGCGGTGCACTTCTGGGCGACGGGTGTCGGTCTGCGTTTACATGGTAAGGCGTTAACCAAGGGGTGGCATAGGTGTAGTTATGGCCGTGGTAGTGGCGTACGACCCCTCATCTGGTACGAGCCCACATCAGTCCGCCTCTATTCAGCGACTAAGGAATATTACAGGATGCCATGTCCTATTCTGGTGACTGCAGAAGGTGCAATCATGATGTGCATTACAACCGTCATTACAGCCGTGTCCATATACAGCTGCAACGCCTGCTGAATCGTCTGCTGCATATGACCCCATCCGACAGGTCTGCATGGTGCAGCAGCCGTCCGTGCAGCCCATCCTGTTGAAGGCTCAGTGAGCAACGGTGGTACAGCTGACACGACATCCATGCTAAACGATTCACAACCAAACCGCGATCACGTAGAAAATGTAGGCTTGTCCTGAAGCACCGGTAAGCGCCTGCCAATGTGGGCATGTGATTAGTGAAGTGTCTCGGGCTTCTCTGCAGTTGCTGGCAATACGGTTTGGGCTGTCCTGAAGGCACTGCAGCATCTTCATCCGAGTCAACACGCAGTGTTTGACCCGGCTGGGCTGCAGGTCTGCTATTGGGGCTCCAGCACAGCGCAAACGGAGGTCTGCCTCATTCTGCAGATGGGCCTCGCTGGCACCCCCGTGTCTTACCGCCTGTTGGATATGGTGCCGGGTGTGTGGACAGGGCAACACCGCCAGCATCTCGTCACAGCTTGTCGCGCGGTTGGCCTCTGCATGTCAGAAACACCGTCAGCCGAGCAGGCTGGTCATGTGTGTGCTGTCATGCATGGGATGGACAGCCGCTGTGACTTCACTGTGGAGCAGGTCTTGGCAGAATGGGCTGATCAGCATAGACCTGCGGTTGAGATGTGGCGGCTGCTTGCGGCAACACAGCAGTCATCACAGCAAGCACCGCTGCAGCAGCAGCAGCAGCAGCAGCAGCAGCAGCAGCAGGAGCAGTCGCAGCAGTGCAAGCGGGCCGCTGCACAGCCAAAGCGCCAGCAGACCTGTCATCCATCCGAAATGCCATCGCCCAGTCCTGCTGTAACAGATCCTGAGCAACGTGTACCTGGGTACTTCAGAGCATCCTGGTGCAGTGGCCCGGGCCACAGCCTCGGTATCTCCGTGCGGCTGGCGGCTTGGGGCACTGTCACAAGCATGCTGCTGGCCAGTGCACTTGTGGTGTGCGCTGTGTGCAGTGTCACCAGCACTGACCTCCATGATGACCTCAAGCGATGGGCCACTGTGCAGCCCATCGGTGCTGGCATTGCACCGTACTCCTTCCACAACAGCTTGCATGCCAGCAGCACGACCACACCCGAAGGCCTGTGGCGCCTATGTCCCCACTGCGCTCCCCTGCATCCTGCGAACACTGGCAATGAGCGAGCAGAGTTTCTCGTCTTCCATCCACCAGATTAAACCAAGGCCATCGTGTCATTGGACGCCATCAACCAACTGCGGATAGGCCTAGTGGACATTGGACTTGTTTTTTTTCAGCTGCCTTTGGATTTGTTGCTGACAAGCTTCGACAGCAGCATTTCATGGAAGCGCTGGTCTTGGATTGGGCACGGGACTCCACACGCCGGGTCAACATGCTGCCCCCGGCACTGCAGGAGGTGCTGGGATGGAGTGTGCAGCACAACCCGCTTGTCAGGGAGTTCCTCACCGTGGCCAAACAAGTCCCACCCAATCACCCTTTGCTATATCTCTCTCCAGCTGACATACAATCATTTGTCGCCAATGAACAAGCCTGCAAACCACTCGTGCTTGCCACCCTGGAAACTGCAGAGGCAGCATGCTCACTGATATCTGTGATTGTGCCTGCTGTCCAGCGTGCAGCCATGAAGCATGCACCCGTGTTGTACACTGCGGAAAGATTGGTCCTGCGGGCGCCCACTCGGCCCGAGCTCCACCTGGCTGTTGCCGTGGATGGGACCCCACTGGACTATCAGTTTGGCCTGTCTGCAGAGATGGCCATGTTCCCATATCTGTTTCCCTTTGGGGCTGGCGCGTTTGTGGGCAGCACGACCCTTGTGAAGTACTTAGCATACCACGCCAAGTGCCTCTTCAGTGTCTGGACATTGTGCAAGCCATACCTGTTGCTGATGCATGTGCTCCGTCAGAGTGCCCGGCTGCAAGAGCAGAATACAGAGGTGAGCGCCTGGCGGGTTTGCTGTCGTATATGCGCTGCATGATGCATGCTGGAATGTTGGGTGCCCATGGGTGCCCACCCAGCTGTTACATTTTGCATGTTCGGATCAGCAACATGCACGTGCAACTTGATGTCACAATTATCACGCCCGCCTGTATGTACAGGCCGTGCTGGAGAGTGCGCTCCTGGACTACAAGTCCCAGCACCCGCATGTGACTGACGAGGACGCCATCTGTCACATTCTCAAGCACAAGCTCCCGGCCACGTTGCCCAACACGCCTGCATGGCACCGCAGCAACCTCCAAGATTTGCTGTGCATGGTGGACTGCTTTGGGATGCCGTCCTTCTTTCTTACACTCACAACTGACGAAGTCTCAGCCACACGCTGGCCTGAAGTCGACTCGCTGGAGCAGAAGTTGCAGGAGTAAGTCGCACTGCTGCCGGGGCTCACTTATTCAAACTGCTCCTCTTGGAGGGCATCCTTGCATGGCACCGTCCGCCTTATGTCCTCGCTCAGTATGCCAGGCTGTCACCCATCACCCATGAGTGCACTGCTCTGGCCGTGCTGTGCTGCTGTCCTTTGCCTGCAGCTTCTGTGCTGGCTTCACATGGCAAGACACCCCAGCTGAGAACGCATTCATCGCCCACAAGCGTGTTCAGTCCTTCATGACTGACATGATGAAGGCTGGCCGCGAGGCAGTCCAGGCCGGCGGGGCCCTTGGCTGCGTCACCAACTGGGTGGTGCATTATGAGGTTCAAAACTGGCACAGCCTGCATGCGCACATTGTGCTGTGGGTGCACCTTGAGGACGTGGACCGGGTAGCATCCGAGATCGTTGCCTGTGTGCCCGCTGAGTACTGCAGGGATGATAGCCATACATTGTGCCCATACACAGCAGAGTACTGGCAGCAGCCTGAAGAGCCCTGCCAGCACGACCTCTTCCAGCATGTATTGCGCAAGCAGATGCACATCTGCACATCTGGCGGCCATGCTGGCTGCTGTGCATCGGGCATATGCAAGTACAAGTTCCCGTGGGCACCATACCGCGCATCCACTCCTGCCGTCGACCCAGCGACCCTGCACTACCAGTATTATCGGCCATCATGGGTGCATCGGAATGTGGTCCCATACCACCCCATGCTGGCGCTGCTGTGGGGGGCCCACATGAACATACAACGCATAAACTCAGCCAGCTGGTCCTTCTACGTGCTTAAGTACGCTATGAAGGTGCGTGCATATGGTTCACTGATTCCAGGATGCACCACCACGGCCCTGTTGCCAGGCTGCCGCTCTGCCTGTGCCTTAGCACAATACCACCCAACCTGTTGCCATGGCTGTGACACACGCGCAATTGTGCCCTCTCTGCATGGTGCATCTAGACAGAGCTGGTGGGGAATGTGGACCTCACTGCTGTGTCACATGTGGCGCTGGGAGTGCCGGCAGACAGCGGCACGGGTGCAGCGGGTCATGACTACTTCATGCGACTCATATCAGCATACCTGGCGTCCACAGTCATCAGCCCCACACTGGCATACCTGACCACGGCCAACATCCCCGCAGTGAGTACCAGCAATGCACTATGTGGCAGCCTGCTCTGCAGCATCATGACCTGTGCTCACCCATGATCTGCGCTGCCATACTGCGCCCGCTGACAGGTGACGATGTCAGCCGGTCTGCAGTACATCGACTCATCACCACCATGAGCCGCACACGGCGCGTGCTGCAGACCGGCCCCATTGGTAAGGTGTGTGGCCATCTGCACCTCAGCATGCCGCCCGTGGAGATTTACACACTCCATCCCGCATGCTTGGAAGATGTGGCCTTTTACGACTACTTGACACAGTACCGTGTGTATGATGGCGACAGGTGCCTGCATGGTGGCATCTGCTGCAGAGTCACTGTCAACGGCCAGCACGTGTTCCGGATGGCGGAGCCGTGCTTGGTGCGCTTCACTGACGTCAACCCCGCCTATAACCCGGCCGGGCGAAGGTAGGCACAGGCTGGTGGTAAAACGAGGCTCTAAGGGCCCGAGACGGACCCCTTCAAAGGGGGGGAATGTAGCAGCCGGTACACAGTACGGTGCTATAAATACGCGCAGAGGACGACCACCAGCAACTCGAGAGACCTTTTCAGCGGTCAGCTGCTACACGCCCGTAATTCACCTGCAGCACCACATAATATGCACCCGTAATCACTGGGTCTTCACCCGTAATTGTGCGTGTAATTGGTTACATGCGCCCATAATTCACCTGCAGCACCGCGTAATATCCACCCGTAATCACTGGGTCTTCACCCGTAATTGTGCGTGTAATTGGTTACATGCGCCTGTAATTCACCTGCAGCACCGCGTAATATCCACCCGTAATTCCGGGGTAGTCGCCCGTAAATGTTCACCCGTATCCTTGTGCTCAAATTACGGGACCCGTAACGTGTTACGGACCCGTAATTTCTGTCAAATTACGGGTGGATTGACCCAAATTTACGGGTAAAATGACCCCCGTTTCCCCAGAGTGCGGAGGGCTTCTTTTTACAACCTGCTGCTCAAGCAAGTCCCGTTCCGCCATGAAAGATCCCTGCTATCGGCACAGAACGCGTCACACACATACTTCGAGGAGTGTCAACTATGCGGGCTGGTCAAAGATATGGCAGACTTGGAGTGCTAAGTGCAGGAGTGAGTGCTGCTATCTAGTGCCACACAGCCACACTCTAGCCTATCACCCTTCCCACGTCACGTGCATGTCCTCCGCCTCACCAATGCCCCACGCCATGCCTGCAGCTATGGGCAGTACCACCTGTACGAAAGCGACAGGCGGCATGCCTTGCTTGCCACCTTGCTGGCGGCATGCCTTGCTTGCCACCTTGCCACCTTGCCACCTTGCTGGCCCATCCAGGTGCACGCCAGGCACATCCCATGTGCACACCCCCCCTGCACAGCCTGCTGCTGTCACATTACAGCTGCACAGCGCAACCCCTCCAACAACAGGCTGCTGCAATGCAGGGGCGGAGAAACATACGCCTGTATGGAGGTGCTGGCTCGCCAGCTGCACCATGCACACCTGGTCACCCAGCACACCCAGATGGGGTTCACAGCCTGTACAAGGCTGCTGGCCCATCAAGGTGCACGCCAGGCACATTCCCTGCACACACCCTCCCTGCCCAGCCTACTTCTGACACGCCTGCCCTCCTGCATCGCCGCATCCTCATGCCTGTTGCACCCTCTGCATACACACCCTGCCCGCCATACCATCCGGCCAGATTGGTACCATCGGTGGCCACATACACGTGGCCCACCATGTCGACCTGGTGCATAGAACTGCCGGCTGCTTTGTGGCGAGGTAGCTTGTTCCACAGCCGGCCAACATCCAGTGCAGCAACCTTGCACCGAACCAGCTCGACAGTGGTGGGGTCATCCACCTGCACACGTGTGCCAGTTATGTCGTGTCCAAACACAGTGCATACTCAAACAGTACCGCGCCGTGCACCCTTTCCCCAACCACACGCACCTCAACTTTCACAAACAGCAATGTCACCTTCTGCCCACTCAAAGCAGGCATGGCACCCCCAGCTTGCAGCTCGCCCCCAGCCGCCTCAGCAGCCCGCTTGAGCAGTGGGGTCGAGCATCGTACACATTGCACACAGAAGCCAAGGTGCAGCGTCTCTGTAACATCGTGAACATATCCAGTACACAGTGGCAGGCTTGCCGAGCATGAAACGAAGGGGGGGTCGCATCTCACCAGTCCACTAAGCATGCATGTGCGCCAGCAGATGAACACACAGCGCACTTCTGGGTGACGGGTGTCAGTCTGTGTTTACGTGGTAAGGCGTTAACCAAGGGGTGGCATAGGTGTAGTTATGGCTGCGGTAGTGGTGTGACTTCGGTGTGTGCCTTGCATGCTGTGAACCGATGCGCCTCTCCAGCTGTCACTTGCGACCACCATCTTGCCATGACATGCCTGTGCCCGTTGTACCTGCAGGCAGCAACTGCTGTTGGGAAGCATGGGATGTCACGATGAAGACATCCTGCATGGGACTGTAGCAAGCTACATTTACCTTAGAATATCTTTAAGCTATTAAAGCTTAATCACAGTAACGGTACGGTCCCGTATTTACGAACCA